GCCTGAACCAGGCGAACTTATTAATTTAGCCGTGCTTAATATTAAGTGCAGTGCTTAATTGATTTAGACGCCGTGCTTCTCATGTGCTTAATTCATTGTATTAAGTTCGGCTCATGAAAAGCACGGCGTCTAAACCGGGCCTAACTGAAAAATACAAAGAGAACTTCGATGTTTCGAGCGAAGGCCCTTCGATTTGTACTGTTATTGTTAATGTTTGTACTTGTATCATGATAAATATAATCTCCTCAGCAACGAGAGAATGTTTACTGTGGAGTGTGGACCTAACACTACGTATACCATAAATTCTGACGGGATAATAAAATTTAACGAAGTTACTATTATTCTAGAACCTGTATATGAGTTTGTACGCATATCATTTAGTACAGATAATCTCAACTGTTTTAGGGCAAGTCGACCATGACGGTCAACATGGAAACGCTGCCCGAACCCCAATCCGGGACGAAACGTCCAAAACTGACCACACTTAAAAACTACGCTTTCGCCATAGTGCCATCTACCAAACCATAAAAGCTTTGGATATTCTGAAGTGCTTACATGGTTCAGAGATGGTGGTTTTAGGGGTGGTCCTTGGTAAGTGTGAAATGCCTAGCTCTGATATTTCACAAGTAAATGACCATGCAATACTCATAGTCAAACGTCAATTTGTGGCTTAAGTAAACAGCAGTGGATCTACATTACCTTTTTTCCTAAAAATTTTTTATAGAAACATAATTGGTACTTATTTAAGTATATTATCACTGTTTTGGTGTAAAATAGTTAATATTTTGTGACCGAAATAATAATTTGAAATGTACATACCTCCTGCAAATGGACGTATTTGGCCAAATTCTCCATTTTACTCCCCTGTTTATGGCCGATCTCGTTGAAATCCTTCCAAGTATGCAATTCAGCTCAAACATAATGGTATCAAGCACATTTTAAACAAATTTCAACTGGTTTTCAAGTAGATCATAGCTGTTTAACCATCGACAAGGTGAAGCCTCAACTTTGCCGTTCAAATTCAGCGCCATTTTGTTATCCCGTGTCGGTTGTAAACAATTCGGCCTTGTAATCTTCCATCCAAGCCATTTCCATCGACTAATGACAAATTTAACCCTTTTGTTAAAGCTAGATTACAGTCCCTTCTGCGCATGTGTCAAAAATGTAAACAAATGTGAGCACACTTGTTTTGATTTTGTGTGCTCCCCAGTCCTTATTCGGATATGCGCGCTCAAAATGGCCGACTCGCAAGAGTTCTATAATAGAGCCGTCCACTTCAAAGACAAATCCTTCTAATGCTGGTCGCCAAAACCAACCAGGAAATCGAAAAAAACATTTCGCGAAAAGGTATGCAACGAAAATGTACTTTAATGATGCTATTGGTCGGTGAAATCATTTCAAAACTGAAGCTGGAATCAAAAGTGACGAGCGTTCGCGAATACTCTGCTGATCGAGCCTGATACGAAACATCAAGACGGATTTAATTGTGGTAAGCACATAACACATATCCCTGGATATTTCAGTTATGTCAATGCTGTTATATTTCCTCATTACAAAACTTTATTGTGCACTTATAGCGCTGTGGAAACCCAGACGGATCAGCAGCCAGATGAAACAATACAATGCAGACATGAGCCATTGCCAGCTAGTATATGTTCAGCAAGGGGAAACAGCAATGGAGCCACATAAACATTCTTAAAGATTCTCCTAAACAGTACAAATACATCCTACAACTTATAATTAAGGTATGTATAACATTTTATGCTTTCCTGAATCCTAGTGAGAAAAAAGTGACTTTTAGTTTTCATTATGAAATTCCATATTCTTTATATCACCTTTTCAAACATAAATATTTTGATCATTCTCTAGGCATGTTAAGGGCACAGTAGCACCTGCTGATTGATGTGTTTTAAGAGCACTTAAATGGCTTTTTGGAAAGCCAAATTTTGATTTGCATGAATATTAACAAAATCAAAATGTTGCTTGAAAAAAGCCATTCATGTGTTTTTAAAACATATTGGTCAGCAGGCACTAATGTGCATTTAAACAGGAATAAAACTAATTATAAGTCTTCTTTACTTCTTTAGGTATGGGGATTGGTGTTGCAAGTGATGACCGAAGGCAAATTGCTCCTAACATAACCCCTGTCCCTCCCCCTTCAGTCAAAGAACTTGTTGAAACCCATCAGTCTAGATTCAACTGATCACTGTAGACAAGTGTCTGGCACTTAAAACAAAGTGCTCTGGTTAGGTGGAGCTCATAATCCCTGAAAAGCAGTCCACCTAGGAGAAGGAACTCTGATTACAAACTCCCGGACCCCAATAGTGAGTCAGGCTGTCCATACTGGATTCATTGAGTAAGGAGTAATTTTAAAGAATAAAAAAATCAATGTCAATACCAAATGTTGTGCTTGAACATCCAATGCATTTGATAACTTGTCTTATAAGATACTGTTCATAAAAGATTTAACCCATTGACATGATAAAGTCTTTCATTTGTCAGCAAAATTTGCTGTGGTTAGTAGACAGAGAAAGCTTAAAATAAGTTTGATGCAATTTTGAACTGCAATTTTCTTCTTTTGGTGTATGTGTTAGAGTGAATAATCAAGCCACGCAAAGTAATGTTTCCTGTAATTTTGCTAAAACACATATGCCAAAAGGAGAAAATCAAAGTTTCAAACGGGCCTTAACAGGTGTGAATTACCCATGTTCTGTCAAAATATTTAAAATGATCCTCCCTGTCATGGGGAGATAATTGCAGTAAAATGGATTAATGAATAATAAAGTTTCCCTCAATGATCAATAACATAATAAAAACATGTGCAACAAATATTTACAATCTAGCAGGTTGATACCCAGTGTATATCCCATTTGGAGAAGGATATTGTCTCTGTATTGCTGTAACACAACAGCTTGGAATCACTCTCCTGTTCCGACTTCCTAACCTTCGTTGTTGCCAGAGTACGTATTGTCTGTGAGCAGCATGGCAAAATTTTCATTGTTTCTAATATTATTTAACACTAAAAAGTCTTCCCTCTAATGCATGGCCAGGTCCAAATCGAACATTTCCATCAAGTACTAACTGTGGGAAGAGAGGGCTATTTTCCAATTGTGTTGGCATTGCAACACAGCATCCACATTTGCAATACTCTGAGGCATTTTCTGGGTTTTCGTAGCTGGGTCTGGTTGAAGCGGTTCACCTGGCAATTTACCAAATTGACAAATGCTGCTGGCTGATGCTGTATAAGCTCTAGAGCAAATGCTCTTCAAAGGGCAATTAAATCCATTGCTACCACAAGAGTCTGAAATGAATATATTTATCATTAATTAAATGCAAAAACTCAAGCGCAGTGAAACACAGATATTTCTTACCACCAAATTACTGCATTTCACACCTATGTAGACTTGTATATAGACAGGCAAACTTTTTTTTACATAATTTGATGTTTTACCCGGCAAGGATATGCATAATTATGTGGGGTATTTAATATAACAAATCATGTGTGTTAAAGCCAGTGGTTAAAGCTTTCAGAAATGTATGTCTGCATATACTCTTGGCAGGCAAAGTATCAAAATATGTAAACAAAGTTTACCCAGCTATTGTTAGATAATCATTATCCTTTGAGTGAACTATCACAGTGAACAACATTACATATTCTCAAATGAACCATTGCTCAGGCAATTTTTTGCGTATAAACTAACGAAACATATATAAACTAATGAACCAATACAATAAGATTAGATGTGAAGCACGTTTATAACGAACAGTACGTAACTAATAGCAATAATACAAACTCACCATCTGTCCTTCTATTGTTCATACATGTATCAAAATCCTCTTCGTGGCACGCGCTTGAGCAAAAAATACCCATACTTTTGCAGGGACAGGAATTTCGCCCTCTCTATCGAAGACAGAAGCTGGCGCAAGCCGCGACATGAACATATTGTTTCCAATTCTTCCAGCGAAAAGCTTTTTCCGAGTGCTTCTGCCATGACAGCAACAATGACTCTGGCAATGTGTTTTGACGAACAAATACCCCAAGGAAAGACTCATGATTACTTTGACACTTCCAAAGTTTATTTTACAATGCCGAACATTAATATAATCAACACAATGAGTGCGGACTCGCACCTTTGGCTCGGCTGTGTCGGTCTCTTCTGAATGTTTCATCAACGAGGCACACAAAAAACAAATGCCGAATTGATCAACAATATATCTTCCATTGATGATCTTTCAAAATATTTAATTGCTTGTCTTTCAGAAGACAACAACTCCACTCCTGACTCGGACTCCATTTATTTAGTGCATAGCCGCTATACTTCATATTATACAATTGAAGTGGATCCAAACCAAAACAAAAAATGTAAACAAAGCCCGCACATGCGCAGAATGGACTGTAATCTAGCTTTAAGGGTATTAAAATAAAAATACAAATGAAATACGCGAAATTACGAGTCCTTCAAAACATTTCGTACAAATCTCGCGTGATTTAGTAACAGGAGGGTAGAGACTTGGAAAATGAAAGCAAAGTCCAACGCAGTATGGTAAAACCCTAAAACCAACAATCAACATTTAATTTGTATGACTTGTTCATATTAATAAATAATAATATGTCCTATTTATTTGTCGCTACAAGAAATAAAACAAATGTTTGTGTGATTGTATATAGATTTAGTCTATTTCACGCCGCCTTCCTCTATCTTCGTGAAAAAATTCACCCCCTCCTGTCACGGCCCTGTCACTTTGTCAACGATCCGCTCTACAGTTTCAGATTCAAGTTTCAGATTCAAATTCAGATTCATATTCAGATTTGAATCTGAAACGGGGTCAATTGTCGCGTATAAAATGTGGAATTGCTCTGTCTCTCTCCACGGAATAAATGTAATTCGTCAAGGACATCCATCTTCAGACTATTGTTCATTTACAAAACTATATTTTAATCTTTGGCTCATAATGTGAAGCCAGGAAAAATCGCAGAAACTACACGAACAACGCATGATTTCTTACTGCGCCATGTTTGTCTTAAGCTGTCGGCAAAATTTTTTTTCGCTGTCACGCTGTGTATCGCAAAATACGCGTGTAGTTCCCTAATTTCTGAAAGACATTCATTAGTACACTATAGTAAATTGTATAAAGAAAACTAGGTCTTAAAAACGTTAGTTGTTTTGTCAGGAAAAATCGCAAATCGTAGATCATGAGACACGGCTTTTGCAACCTGAAGCGAATGTTGACAATGCAGCTGAGAGAATAAACACTTCTCGCGCGTCGCACGCTTAGTTTGGAATATTCGTCTGCGAAAGACATTCATCTACAACTATCACAAAATTTTACAACGCAGTTGTTATTTTCAAACAGCTTGTGTTTTGGCAGGAAAAATCGCAAAACACAACCGCTGTTGGAATCGAAAATCCGGACGGTCATTAAGACGTTCATCCCAGTTTGTTTAGTCTCATATAAGCAAAGTTTCGTTTGCCTTTGCAGTGAATCTTCACCAGTTGACTGTAAATTATGGTCAAATTTAGAATACTTTAATATTAGGCAAATATTTCTCGCGGAATAAGGGCTTGGAATCGTTCTGTGGAAGAACGATAGGATATCAACCCCCCGGATTTTATTGTTTCAGATTCAAATTTCATTATAACAATCTCAGTGCGTATAATATAACAATGTTTTGCGATTTTTCCTGCGCATATGCGTTGCCGAATCGCAATAAGAACCAAACAGAATGAAGCGCGCAATAAGTAGATGAATGTCCTTCTCTGCGGTATCTGCTGGTTTAATACAGTTGCTGTGGTTGAAGGATTTACGCTGACTAACGCTGTTTCAGGTCGAATCTGAAACTGAATCTGAATCTACATGAAATTTGAATCTTAACAAAAAATATCCGGGGGTGGCTGACATCCTATCTTCCTTCCATAACACGATTCCAAACCCTTTTCTGCGAAAAGTACAGGGCCGTTTTTGAGCATATCAACATTTAATTATAACTCCTAGTCAGCTAGTGAACATTTGTTGTGAAGACAAATTATACTTGGTTTATACCAGTCTAAACGAACGTTTGGGAAAGTATTAATGCCCGGCCGGATTTTTGAATTCAACACATGTTGTGTTTTGCGATTTTTCCTGCCCAAACAACAAGTTATCCGACGATAAAAAATGCGTTATAGGATTCTATGATAGTCGTTGATGAATATCTTTCGCAAAAGAATCTTCCAAATTTAAAGCATGCCGCGTGAGAAACATTTCTTCGGTTCACTTTGCAGTTGACCTTTGCTTCAGGTTGTAAAATCTACAACTCCTCTGTTGTGTTTTGCGATTTTTCCTGAGCTACGGAAAAGTGTTTCAAACTCCTAAACTTCTTCATATCATCGGATTTAATGCATTAAAAGATGTCCTCCTTGAAATGGTTTGATAACGCGCCTTTATCTATTAAGAAATGAGATTTGTACGGAATGTTTTGAAAGACTCGTAAGCAACATCTTACAAAGTGATAAAATGCTGCATTAAAATACCCTTAACAAAGGGTTAAATTTGTTATTAGTTGATGGAAATGGCTTGGATGGAAGAATAACAAGGCCGACTTGTCTACAATCGACACGGGATGACAAACTGGCGCCGAAATTGGACAAAGTTGAGGTTTTACCTCATGGCTAGAGATCCAATACAGTATGGCGGAAAAGCATGCGTGCAGAGCGCAAATGAAATAAATTCAAAATGGCGCCAATGTATAGAATTGATAAAGGAAAAATGTATATTTCTGATTTTTTGTTTCATAACCTTACAAATTCTCAGATGTGCACATCTAAAACGTCATTATATAACACAAATATTAACTAGAACAAATTTCGCGACAAATTGACAAGGCTAAATGAGTTCCCTAGCTCGATAGATTCTTACCTCTTATTCCCCATACAAGTGTCTATTAAATCACAACAATTGGCTAAAGTTGGCTAAAGTAAGCCCTTATTTTGGCAATAATCAGTTGGTTTGGCTGTGATGTGCACATCTAAATACACTCGAGAATATTTATTCTTTGTTTTGCGAAGCCTTTTGGGACGTAACTTCGTCTTTAAGTAGGTTCCCAAACGCCATAAAAAAGTGCGATTTAAGTGCCGCAGAGTCGTTGTCAATCGATCGATCAAGTGCCGATCATAAACACTAAACACGACATGAAAATCGAAGCAATACAGTGCTTTCTTGTCGCCATTTTAGAACTGTTGATATGGTTTTCATGGTGTTTACCGCTGCAACGTTTATTTGATCGTGGATGCAGAAATAAAAGCGCAAATAAGCGGTAAAATTTGAAATTTGGCTTGGTAAATATACACTTTTTGTTCGGAATCAAATTTCGCAATTTACGAAATTCATCAATAAAGGTCAATAAAGAGGCATTTTACATATAAATTGTTTCTTATATATTTTTACAGTGTTTACGCTGAGTTGTTGTATTAAACATGTATGATATTCCGCTATTAGATTGCTATTTGCAATGGAAATTAGCAATTGCAAGCCCTTCATTCGCATATGCTAATGAAGCTCAATGTACGCAGGATATAGTTTTGACCTTTTGGCTTTAGATATTCACAATATATTTGCCGCGTTTAGTCTTGTTCTCGCTATAAAAATCAGCTGTACTGCACAGAACAAGACTCTTTAACTCGTTCAACTCCTTGTAGAAATGAACCGCAATGTTTAATACCAAGTAATTAATTTATGCAAATCCGCAATTTATGTAAATTTGAGCCTGCAGGTCAAACCGCATACTGTATTGGATTTCTAGCCATGTTGTCGATGGTTAAACAGCTAGGATCTACTTGAAACCCAGTTGAAACTTAAAATGTGGTTGATACTATTATGTTTGAGCTGAATTGCATACTTGGAAGGATTTCAACGAGATCGGCCATAAACAATGGAGTAAAGTGGAGAATTTGGCCAAATACGTCCATTTGCAGGAGCTATGTACATTTCAAACTTTTTATTTCGGTCACAAAATATTAACTATTTTACACCAAAACAGTGATAATATATTTGCTGTGTTGGTGTAGTGTACTCAGGTGAATAAGATGCTTGTGTGATGTTACTCTAAGTGTATATCCACACCGGGCGAGCTTGAAAAATATGCCCAGCCACCGCGTAGCTCAGTTGGCAGATCATTGGGCTAGTATTCCAAAGGTCGTAGGTTCGATTCCCACCGTGGCTGGGCATATTTTTCAAGCTCGCCCGGTGTGGATATACACTCAGTGTAACATCACAAGCATATTATTCACCTGAGTACAATACACCAAAACAGCAAATATCATGATTATAAGATTACACTGATATCGAAGGAACGAGTCTCAGTTCCGAAAGATCGCTTACTCGAACCGATCTGACCGCGTAGCTCAGTTGGCAGAGCATTGGACTAGTATTCCAAAGGTCGTAGGTTTGATTCCCACCGTGGCTGGGTATATTTTTCAAGCTCGCCCTGTCTGGATATGAGTGTGACATCACACAAGCAGTGATAATATAATTAAATAAGTACCAATTATGTTTCTATAAAAAAGATTTAGGAAGAAAGTGTAATGTAGATCCACTGCTGTTTATTTGAAGTTGTAAGCCACAAATTGACGTTTGACTATGAGTGTTGCATGGTCATTTTCTTGTGAAATATCAGTGCTAGGCATTTCACACTTACCAAGGACCAACCCTAAAAACCACCATCTCTGAACCATATAAGCACCTCAGAATAGCCAAAGCGTTTATGGTTTGGTAGATAGCACTATGGCGAAAGCGTCGTTTTTTGGTGTGTTCAGTTTCAGACGTTTCGTCCCGGATTGGGGTTCGGGCAGCGTTACCATGTTGACCGTCATGGTCGACTTGCCCTAAAACAGTTGAGATTATCTGTACTAAATGATATGCGTACAAACTCATATACAGGTTCTAGACTATATGTCATAGACTATATAGGGTGTATAAAAAAAAAACTGAACAGATTTGAAATTGCTCTCAATTTCGCAAAACAGCTATTAGTATCCAGTTTTTTATATATGTGGCTTCTTTGGCGACTTATAATGTAGAATAAATGAAAAAATTATCGAACACAAATTTTGTAAAACAGGGGTGTGTCTTTTCCGACACACTAAAAATGGCTTGTACACGCGATTTAACTGCGATAATCGTATTTTGAGTTAATGGATGAAAAAAATTGTTGGGTGTTTTTTTGCTTCACAAAAGTTCAGAAAATTTGGCCCAGTTTAAGCCCTTCAACTATTCACGCAAACTTACATTTTTCCTAAAAAAATCAGCAATTTGCATGCATAATTAATCCATGTCAGCAATGTCAGCAATATGTAAATTAGGTAAATGCATAATTAACAAGCGAAAGGCTGATTTTTAAGGAAAAAAGGAAAGTTAAAGGTCTTATACTCACACAAATCGTCTGAAATTATGTACATTAATTAAAAACCCACCAAGTTTTCCAACCATTAACTCAAAATACGATTAACGCTTTTACATTTTGTGCGCAAATTTTTTTTCATTATTCTACCTTGTAAGTACCCAAAGAATCTATACACACCAATAACTAGATGCTAATAGCTGTTTTGCGAAATTGAGAGCAATTTCAAATCTGTTCAGTTTTTTTTTATACACCCTGTATGTCCTCCAGCCGGACAATGTTTTGAAAAAACTAAATGTTCGGCAGTAGTGACTATAGTTCAATATAAAACTTTTGTTTGCACTAGTTTTTACTGCGCCTTTATACTATCCTTTCAGAATTTATGGTATACGTAGTGTTAGGTCCACACTTCATAGTAAACATTCTCTCGTTTTTGAGAAGATTATATTTAACATTTATTACATTAACAATAACAATACAAGGCGAAGGGCCTTCTCTAGAAACATCGAAGTCCTCCATGTTTTTTTCAGGTAGTTGTACCTGTATCAATCCGAGCTTTCGCGCATATTCACCCCAGAATTTTTTGTTGATTTCAATTGATTTCAGTTAAAGAGTATCAGATTTTTGACAAGAAATTCTAATTTTCGAAATGCTTTGTTTATATTTTGCAACAATTGCCGAGCGTGCGTACAACCCACCCTAACCTGCGAAGGGCACGCTCTGGGAACAGGATTGGCATGCATAATCTTGCAGACACGATATAAGGTGTTTTATTGGACCTATCGAGCACCTTTTCGTTGTTTCTAACGATAATTATGAGATTTATGCGAAAACTTGCTGTAAAAGAAACGTTTAAGTTCAAATCCAGCCCAAAGTCGTGTCCAAAGTCCAGTCCAAAGTTCAGTCCAAAGTCCAGTCCAAAGTTCAGTGCAAACTGCAGTCCAAAGTCCTGTCCAAAGTCCTGTCTAGACTTGGCTAGACAAGGCCAGCGCGTAAGATAAAGGGGCCAGCTGACAATAGGAAACTTGCACTGAGGGGTCACGTGACCTCAATCCTCTTAAAATAGCAGTTATGGAATTACAAATCTACAAAGAACATTCGAAGTAATGTTTTAAGCAAAAATTCTTGCACGTTTAGGAGAGGTGGCTTGTTAGAGAGGGGACACCTTATAGAGGGCCATTTGATGAAGACTATATTTCAATTTACGTAGTGCTAAATTTGATTTATTTAAACTTTGTTTTGTCTAGATACAGAAGAGTATGAATATAGCAATGCATATTTTCGAGCCCTCCAGGATGGTAAAGCAAAAAATAATCGAATTCCGATTATGCTGGTCGGGCAAGACCGGGCTGGAAAGACTTCGCTGATGAAACGTCTTTTAGGATTACCATTCGACAAAAGTCAACCCAGTACAACAGGCATTGACATTGATGTTATCGAGCTAACAGAACAAAATGCAGAAAGTCCCTGGAAAAGGAGAGAAGTGAAGCAGTTCATGACCAGCGAAAGTGAGGCAAAGACTGTGTTATTAAGAAAAACTGTTGAATATCTTGATAAAGCAGCCAAACCCAGTGATGCCAGTGAAGCCATTGCGCAAAACCCAGTGATGCCAGTGAAGCCATTGATGCCAGTGACGCCATTATTCATACCCCCAATCTCCGACATTAATTTTCAGAGGTACATTGATCATGAACAGGACCAGAAGGAAGTTCTTCGGGTATTTATAAGTGACTTTGCTGGACAGTCAATCTATTACGATACCCATGGCTGCTTTGTGAAACCACACTGTCCTTACGTTTTGGTTCATGATCTTTCTCTGGAGCTTGATCAGCCCGCCGTTCCCAAGTTTAAAGACGGCGCTGAAGAGAAAGAGATAGAGATGAATAACCCTCACCTTGTTACCAATTTAGACAATTTTACGTCATGGTTGAAGTTCTTGCAAAGTTCAGGTGAATGCCAAGATAAACAGTTTTCTGATAGCTCTGGTTACTGTACCACTACAAAAGGACAGAACTTTAAACGTCCACCAGTTTTAATAGCCTTAACACACAGTGATAAGATGAAAGGGAATGAGAGCAAAATAGATTGCGTACAACGTAGAATCAACATGGTTTTGTGTGAAGGAAAATATGAGAATATCATCCCAGAATTTTTCCTGATCGACAGCACATTGGAAGGTGACGACGGAGATGACGTGAGAAAACTTCGTAGAAACCTTTTTGACGTCTCGTATGGAGTCCTTAACCAGGAGATTTTAATGCCTGTTACGTGGCTACATTTTGAAACTGCTCTGAGCCGGATGCTATCACCAGATAGCAAGTATATCCTAGTTGACGAAGCTAAGCGGGAAGCTGAGGCCTGTGGCGTTGAGGAATTTGATCAAGCTATCAAATTTCTGCACCGCCAAGGTGTGGTTGTTCACCACAGTGGATCTAGCAAGGTTGTATTGGATCCTCCCTGGCTAATGAATCGTTTTACGAAAGTGATCACCATGCCTTGCAAATTGGATGCCTCGACCAGGCACGCTCTTGACGAGTTCAAGAGCAAAGGAATTTTGTTTCAAGAATGTCTTGCAAAGCTAAAAGACGCCGAACTTCTGGAAGAGCTCATGCAAAAGTTTAATTTGATTAGTCCTTGCCTGCACGATGGAAAGCCCGCTTTTTATGTCCCTTCAGTTGCCCCGGCTATGGTAAAAGGAAAGAAGTTACGTGTTAGCCCCTATCCATCGCTGTTTGTGACATTTCCTCGCCAACTTGTGCCGATCAGCCTGTTTACCAAGCTGCAAGTGAAATTAATTTCCGAGTGGGAAAAGCGCTTCCCCCCTCAACAAACCAGACCTTCCTTCTACTGCAATTACTCCTTGTTTGCGATTACTATGGACGGCGACGTGTACGATGTTTGCCTAATCGACCTACACGAGTTCATCAAGGTTACTGTTCTTCCGAAACAGGTTGATAACCACATTCGTCATTTCAAGTTTGTCAGTCATCTGAAAGCCATTTTGAAAAAATGCCTGAACGACCTTAAATCTCCAGATCAATTATTATTCAGCATGACCAGCTACGACTTCGAAGTGAAATGCACCTGCTGCGTTGGTAAAGAAGAAAGAAAATGTTCTCGTCACCATGAGACCAAATGTCATTCTGACCGTTGTGGGCACTTTTGGAAGTTGAATGACCTTCAGAGATTCTTGGACAATCAATCACCAGCACTTTGTCTGTCGGACGAATTCTCGTCCGAGGTGTTTGACATAAAGAATGTGAGAATTTGGCTCAATACTGGTAAGTGGCTAATGCTAAAGTTGCTTATACTTTACTGGTGTCAGTGGACATTGCCCTCCCCGGTCAAGGTCCCCCCCCCCCTGACACCGCTGTGTCTCCCTGGACCGTGTTCCCTAGCTGATATTGTCCCGGCGGACGCTATCCCCATCGCGGATGATTTCCCCCCGTTACGCATTGTGTCTTATACCCAAACTATGCGATAACGTTCATAAAATGAGACATTTTTCGAAAGTGGGATGGACAACGCTTTATCAATTTCTTCTCGCTTGTAATTCAAACAAATTGTGTATACAAAAGAGAAATTTTAATTTCTTCAATTATTTTATTATGACATTAATTCTGCTGTTATTGTCATAACATAGTCATTTATAATACTTTTGTTTGTTGAAACACCACGTAAATTTGTTACTGCAAAGGTTTCGATCCGTGAGCCCGGATCTTCATCAGTGCTAATATAATATGTGACTTGTTCAAATCACACGAAGATTCGGGCTTACGGATCGAAAGCTTCGCACCAATAAATTCACATGGTGTTTCCACAAACAAAAGTATTATGTTTTATCGCCATGCAAACCTACAGAGAACTTATACTCATATAATTAAAAATGTTAGTATAAAAGGGCCGTACTGTGTATCTATATATTGCCCCCCCCCCCCCGTTTACGTATTCTAGCTCGGGCAGTTACGACGATTGTTGGTTGTGATTTTCTATGCCTAGCCGCCTCGCCTACGTGATTGAGTGTATTCATTCCAAATTAATGGAAGGCCTGTTGATTTACAGCTATTCGAATTAAGGTTGTCCACGAGCAATACTGAATAGTCGAATACGAGCGCGAAAGGCGGCCGGGAATCGTTAACAAATTAATGAATTTTCAAAGCGGTTCCAAGCGGCTTTTCGCGCTCGTATTCGACTTTTCTGCTTTGCTCGGGGGACAACCTTAATTGAAATAGCTGTATACTCGATAACCTTAACAAAATGCGATTTAGTAAAAAATATGTTGCTGTTAGGTGGTAATTATTAATTTAAAACACTCACTAATAATTCATAAAGCTTGTGATAAATCATGACAGCAATAATATGTCTCGTGGAGTGACTTTATATCTGATAAAACACATGCATGCATGCATGCATGTGACCACAGGAGGCCCAGGCTCGATTTGCCCGCGCCCGCCTGTGCCTTCCTTATAACGAGGGAAGGAAGGAAACATTGAGACCAAAATAGCCCAGACTGGCATATGTCACACGAAACTATCCTCGATTTTTCGCCTTTAATGCATTTCTTTCACGATTAATCGATATCCCCTGCAAGAATGATACCGTATAACTCTCAAAACAACGATGCTTTAATCAAAGAACTTAAATTCGCTCTGAAATCCGTGAGGGAATAACAAAATTCGCCCAAAATATATCCGCGTGCCGGGTTTGCTGGACAAAAAGCGGAAGTCGTTGAACAACTCAAAATACACTCAACCCTGATTGGACAACGGAAATCAACAAACTTTTCAAATTTTTCTCCACTGGCACTGGGAAGGGGGACAGTACTTGGAACAGTACTGTAATAATTTGATTATTTGAATCAAAACAATTCACAAACGTTATTATACTGACTAAACTTCTTAAATTTAAATATTTAGATTTGTACTGGTTTCCCCCCGACAACATTTGTTAATTGTTTTGATTCAAATTTATATTAATTACTGACTACTGAAAAATTTGAAATGTTTGTTGATTTCCGTTGTCCAATCAGGGTTGAGTGTATTTTGAGTTGTTGAACGACTTCCGCTTTTTGTCCAGCAAACCCGGCACGCGGATATATTTTGGGCGAATTTTGTTATTCCCTCACAGATTTCAGAGCGAATTTAAGCTCTTTGATTAAAGCATCGTTGTTTTGAGAGTTATA